TGGACCCCTGAGCCTTGAAGGGAAGGATATAGAAGTGGACTAAACCCCAACTAGCAGAAGAATTTGCATGAAAATACAAAAAAGGAGACAGATGGAGCTGCTGTCTAACAGTGATCCTGAGCAATCGTGACGGCACAGACAGCTTGGAGATTCCTGAGTGGTGATAGGACCTAAGAACTAACCTAAAAATCACCCTGCTAGCCAGGGACTGCACGGAGGACTGTGCACAGTCGCTGGGGAACAAACGGAGGTGAAGAGAAAGGTGGGCTAAGCTGTGGACTTTTGCCAGTCCAGAGGACGCCGCCATTTTGAAGGTTTAAAAAGGGGCTTAACTACTTTGGATATTTAAAGAGACAGCGCTGTTGCAGATTCCTGGGGCTTAAGAACACACTCTGCTTTCCAGCAACCCCAAGGACACTCGGGATCAGCAAGACTGACAAGGTACGACATTCCTCATTACTCTTATACCCCACACCCACTTAGTGAATGGAGGTGCGGTCATCCCCCACTCCCACATACCTTCTGGGCCCACAAGAACTCCATCACAGTCTGTGTGCTCAGACAGAGCCTCAGTGCCCTGCCCTGTCCTCCACCGATTTTTTTTTTTCTCTTTTTTAATTTTTACTTTTTTCTTTTTTGCATTCTTTTTTCTGGTGATTAGTTTGCTTCTATTTGTCTGCTTTAAAATAACTAATATTATTAACACTTTTGTCCTTTTTATTATTATTCTTAATCTTCCCCTTTGCAGGTCCTAGTTTTCAGCAATTTTTCTTTTCCCTATGCCTGGTTGAATTTTTTTTGTTTTTTTAATTTAAGGTTTTTTTTTTTCTTTTCCCCCGTTTTCCTCATGGTTAACCCTGTTCCTTGATTTTCTTTTTGCATTTTTCCCAATTTTTTTTTCATTTATTATTCTCCTCCTCTACTTTTTGTTTCTTAGTGCCCTATTCCCAGATATTATAGGTTTTTTCTTCTTTTTTTTCCCCTTTTTTTGGGGGGGGTTACTGTTCCTGTGTGATTACATGGTGTGTTTTTCATCCATGGGCTTTTAGTTTTTTGATGGTTATTCAACTGTAATTTGTATCTAACTGAGTGGGAGACAAAAGTCCCCATAAGACACAACAACACCCACTCCTCCTGCAACTTCACTTACTGAGCGAGAGCCACTACCTCCTTCTCCACCAATGGGCCAACGATAAAAAACCACCAAAAAGAGCCTGAATCACCCTTGGCTGCTCTTCACAGTTAACAGAGATCTAAATACAAAGCCATGATGCCTCGTAAACAACAGACCATCACAGTCAACACAAAGAAGCAAGATAAAGTGGTAGAAACAAGGAAGCAGGATACAGACCCAAAACATATCCCTGAGGAAGAAGCAGCATTGGCACTCTCGATAAGGAATGCAAAAGAATTATATTTAGGTATCTTCAAAGGATTGAGAGACAGACCAAAGAAAACACAGAAAAAACCTTAGAAGAATTTTGGAAGAAAATACAGGAATAAAATGACAAAATAAATGAAAAATTAGAAATGATTCTAAATCTACAGATAGAAATCCAGAAGATTAATACTAAATTATCA